TTTTTTTTAATTATCTTGTCTCTCTTTTGCCTCTGGGCTTTTACCTTTCTACATTTCTGTATTTCTTTCTTATTCCATGGCTTGCTGTGATGTGGTGATGTTCCATTTGTATTTTAATAAATAAAGCTTGCCTGAAGTTCAGAATACTAAACAGCCACCTAGTCGGCCATCCAGGCCAGGTAGTGAGTACACACATCTTTAATCCCAGAAGCCATACTAGCTAGCCATAGAGGCCCAGGTGCTGGTGGTGCACACCTTTAATCCCAGCATTAGAGAGGAATATAAGGTGTGACGAGACAGGAACTCACTCTTTCAGTCTGGAGGTTTCATAGAGGTAAGAGCTCTCTAGTGGCTTGGCTGCTTTGGTTTCCTGATCTTTAGGTTGAACCCCAATATCTGTCTCTGGGTTTTTATTATTCATGCTGCACTGGGTGGCTAGGTGGTTGACCCCTGAAGTCACCCAGATCTTCTCTTGCTTCCTCCTCCTTTGAGATTTATTCTCTCTGCCTGCCAGCCCTGCCTCTCCTTTCGCCTGCCTAGCTATTGGCCGTTCAGCTCTTTATTAGACCAATCAGGTGTTTTAGACAGGCACAGCGACACAGCTTCGCAGAGTTAAACAAATGCAACCCATCTTTTCTTTCGTTTCTGCATTTAGGACATAGGGAAATAGTTGTGTGTGTTCAATCCATACACACATTTTGTCAACTACTTCCCACTCATGTTTGGTTGAACCCAGGCAGGTGATGGTGCACACCTGTAACCCTAGCTTGGGGGTTGGGTTGGGCAGCAGGGACAAGCGAATTCCTGAAACTCAGGGTCAGCCAGACACACAATGCAACAGAGCTCAAGATCCAGTGGGAGACCCTGCTCAAAGATCAAGGTACAGAGCAATTGAACACACCTAAAGTTGACCTTTGGTTTTCTCAGGTGTGCGCACATACATGCACTTGCACACACACGTACCACACACACACACACACACATACACACACACACACGCATGCACACATGCAACACTACCCTGAAAAACCCCAAACAAAAAAAACTCATTACAACACGACTCATTAAATTTCTACCTATTCTCTTGTCTACGTTGGAGGGCAAGCCAGATCTAGCAGTAGACGGGCCTGTGATCCCAGCAGTCAAGAGGAAGGAACAGAATGGGGAGGGGCAGTGTTCAAGGTGAGTTCAAGGCCTGGGCTATGTAAAACCCTGTCTGAAAAGAAAAACCAAACAGAAGTCCAAAATCAGCTCAGGGGCCAGGGCTGTAGCTCAGATGGAGCGCCCTTGCCTAGCACATGTGAACTCTTGAGTTTGACTCCCAGGATGAAAAGAAAAACAATACATTCCGAACGGTTTACAGGTATCTTAAGAGGCAATGAGCAGTATAATAGGAAAGGCACA